TTGTTGAATTTAGGCTATTTTTGGTGAGCTGGAACCAATTACCCAAAAACCCATTGAAACAATGGTTTCGGTTAACGAGTTTTTCGGTTAACGAGCAACCTGCTGGAACGGATTGTGCTCGTTAACCGAGGGACCACTGTACAGTATATAAACATACCAGTATCGGTGTACAGTCAGTTCTGCTATAACGCGATAGTTGTGTTCTTGTAAAATATCGTGTTATAGAAAATCGCGTAATAGAAATAACAGGGCTTATGGTGAAAATAGGGTTAGGTGCAGATTACTACATTACTCGAAATCGAAAAAAAATTAGTAGTTGGCCTAACACAAAGGATAGCAGTCTAAATAAATGTTACATTCATATCTAATAATGAAATCATACAGTAAATGTAACACTTAACCTTGAAAAAATATGAATAAAACTTGATGGGGGAGAAGGTTGATGTTGAGGTTGATAACATTGAGCTTCTCTTCAAGTGTTATATCCTTTCTTTTACGATCATCACCGGGAATGCGATCACCAGAACGCTTCTTGGAGATATTCTTCTTTACCATATTCACAGTTAATACCACAAAATTGGAGAAATAGTAAGCAAAAATCACGTTACAGCAAACAAGCCTTCACGTTATACAAATATCGTTCCTCTATTCATAAATCGCGTTAGAGCCAATTCGCGTTATCAAAACACGCGCTATAGCAGAACTCACTGTACTGTATTGCATTGTGTTTTTAATGTAGGCTAATATACAACATTTGCTTAAGGCTGAATATCTTCATTCCCTTAGCTGCAGTCTTCTTCCCCCACTGTGTGTGTGACTTGATGTGCCCATGCACATCAAGAATATGGTTGAAAACTGCTAAAATGCCTTAAATGCAGAACAAGAAAAACAAATGCCACAGTGTAAAAAAAGCCATAAGAAAAATATGGTATACAGTTGTACCCCACTTAACGCGGTCAATAGAACCCAGAGGATCCCGCGTTAAGTGAAATCCGCGTTAAGTGAACAACAGAACATATGGGATTAATTCCAATAGAAACCAGCCAGACCCCCAAACTCCACTTTTTGAAGACACATAACTATGTTGTAGTAAAAATAACATCTTAATTTTATGATGGTACATGCACACAATTAATACTTAAGAGAAATAGAGAAATACAGTCGCCAAGTTAATGTCCATTCAAATAATGGACTCAACTCCCTCCCCCCTCTCACACTACACTGCCGGCTCTTCCCTCTCTGAGAAATTTTTTGGGGAAAACCACTAAATTTTAATAAATAATACCTCAAACTAAAGTTAGGATAATACAATTGACATTGCTGGATTCCTTGTAAGACCAGGAATATTTTGAATATAAATGTCATATATTTTGCACAAAAGATAACATATTTACTAGAGAAAACATTTTATCTAAAATTTGTATGTCTAATGCAAAATATATGATGTTTATATTCAAAATGATCACCAAATTATAAGAATTCCAGCAATGTAAATTATATTCTGGCCGGGTAATTTGTATGAATTTTATGAGCTAAAACAAATATCTTCAGTTAATAAAAAATATATTCTTCGGGGTAACAGATGGTCGGTCGGTGGTCCCTCCTCCCCACCCCTGCCGTCCCAAAGGTGTGGAAAACCTAAATTTTTTTTTAAGTTGGGTTTTTGGCTGTGGTTTTGGGTTTTTGTTAAATGTCATATATTTTTCTAAAAGTAACATATTTACAGAAACATTTTATTAAATTTGTATGTCTGCAAAATATATGATGTTTATATTAAAATGATCCAAATTATAAGAATTCCAGCAATGTAAATTATATTATTCTGGCGAGTAATTTGTATGAATTTTATGAGCTAAAACAGGCAGTCAGGCAGGGTGGCGGGTGGGACAAATCTAAAAATAGCGTCTCGAGCGGACACTCACTGCGTATACTGTATGTGGAAAAAATCCGTGTTAAGTGAAAGTTCAGCTCTGGCGGCACAGCGTATATGAAAAAACGCGTTAAGTGAAACGCGTTAGGC